CTCCACGGTAGGCAGAAGCTCACACACCACAAACCTAGCAGTCCTCGTATGCAAAGATCCGTGTCCGAACGGCTCATGCGTTCGCTCCCTTCTAAGTCGTCCGTCGCTGAGAGTCAGATTGCCCATAGCGTCCGCAAGTACCTCCGCCTGCCTCACTCCCTCAGCCTCCTCTCCATCATCCCGGCTGAAGCTTGAATATCCATCCGCAAGAGCTTGGAAGCAGATGAGCTGATCTTGGAGATGCTCATCTACTTGACCTCCTACAGACACTTCCTTGTATAGCTCCTTGCACACGCTGTTGGAGAGTTTTCTGATGAAGAGCTCGGGTGACTTGGTCTTCTTGGGCATCGAGCAGAGCGAGTCCATTCCCCATCTGACTCCCGAAGTGCTCTTTGCCACTAGTAAGATATACCATCGCGTGTCGCTTCCTGATTCCTCCATCATCTTGAATTTGCATTCCGCGTCAGGGTAGAGCTCACCGATGCCCCTGACAAGCTCGTTTTGAAGAGCGGTATGGAACTTCTCTGGTACAATGATGCTGATATCCACAGATTTGACAGCATTCGGGCCCGGGTCAGCGGAGTTCTCAGGCTGAAGAAACCGCAGTTTCTGGCCAAGGGGCAACGGGTATATCTTGAGCGATAGCTTCCCTCTCGACTGGGGCCCGAGACTCCAGGCTCGCATCTCTAGTTTTCTGTCCACTCGGATCCCAAATCTCTCCTCTAGTGTTGGTAGAAGCACCTGGTCTAGGTACTCGTAACTTAACGAGAAGGACACGTTCGTGCCCCCAGAGATCTTCAACCAGATGGGTTCATCGCTGCTGTTACCCGCAAAGACAAGGAATGGAAGCACGGCTTGCAGGATTAGAAGAGCACTTGCTGCTCCAGAAGGGGCGGTGATTTTGAAGTTGCGGCTCACTAGGGCCGTGGGTAGTCTCTTGGGGATGAAGGTCAGAGTTGAGGAGCCCACCCGGAGGCCTTCCACTTCAGCTTCAGTGACATCCGCCAGCCATTGGATAGACGTGACGTGCTGGAATTTTAATCCTTGAATTCGGAGTCAGCATGACAAAGTGTAGAATCGAAACGCCGGCCCTGGAGAACAGGACGCGGGTTGACGCACCTCCTCCTTTGCGGTTCCCTCGAACATTGGTTATTTTCAAAGGTTGGCCCGTCAAAGCTGCAAGTGCTACAGCTACCCGAACAACTTGACCGCCACCCTCGCCAGTGCGGCCGTCAATCTCAATTAAGCCCTTCATACGCTGGTCGATGAGGGCGTAAATTACGTGATGGAGTTTGGAAACGGCGGGGGCTCTGCTGGGAGATCAGGTTACTTCACAGACACAGAGCGTATGCGTGCTTGAAGAAAGATGAGAAAAAAACAGGAAATCTCAATCATCATCAGATGTACATATTGCAGTTTGTTGCTATGAGTCACTCCGTGCCAAAATGACAAACATGGAAGGGGTAATCGCTAACTCAGGTTGGTGGAGCTGTAGTGAGCCGTAGCGCTGGGTAGCGCTGTAGAGTGGCAGTGCAAGGCTCAATTGTACTGCCCCTCAAAATCGTGTCACCGGCTTGCCAAGCAGCCGTACCCTACACGCTGTTGACCGGATAATGCTTATTTTTTTCGCCCCCAAGTTACATCAATAGGATCCCTTCCCGGGCTCGAATGCACCGAAGCTGTTAATATTTACCGCAAGATGTGCAAGGGGCTTGGGCTTGGCTGGTGTAAGTGTGTGTATCTCCGACTTTTCATCCTTCATGTTCTATGTAGGTTGCCCGACCAGGGCGCACAGTAAATTGATTTTTGTTGGTGCTCAAGCGTATTGCACAGTAAATAGTACGATATGGACCTGAAACGATACTGATATCAAGAAAGATAGCAATAGATTCCATCTTTGAGATTGTTAATAAGATCAGGTGCAAACAATTCGAACATAATGTTGGCGATGACGCTCACCATCACGCAGCATCAACGCTCTGATAAAGATGTAGTGAGGCTAGTTTTGTATAATGCAAACGCCAAGAACAAATGATGAATTCGGAGGGTATTGAATGTTTTGTTCTAAGCCTTTGTGTAAGGAAGGCCACTTGTTGATGCCTATGGGTCTGCGGCGGCCAAGCGTTCTGCTGTTCTGGTGGCAAAGGACTCTCCGACCAATATAATAAGATCTTACTGAGCTAACTGCTGCGCACTGAACCATGATCCGATGTGAATCGGGTCTTCAGGACCCACTGTGGCTCTTGTTCTGCACTCTGTTGCCGCCATCTACCTCCAAGGAGCTCTTGTGGACGTTCGCTCTCAGGTTCTTGAAGCTTATTGTGCTATTGGTCTAGTGTGGGACATCTGGAATAACAAGCGGAATATGTAGCAGCCTTGTTACAATAACCTCAAATCTGGTTTGACAAATTGGCATCCTTTTAAGATTAATTCCTAATTGTCTAATGAACGCGGTAAATTCCCTTTGGTTGATATTTTCGCCAAGTGAAAAAGTTGACGGTCTTGGCTCTTATCGCTCTGGCGAGTTTCCCTTAAACGCATGTGCCATTTTGGATCGGCCTGCCATTGGATTGGAGTAAGACCTACTATCTGCTACCGGAAATTCCACCCGTATGAAGGGGCATTGAGACTTTAATCAGGGCATTGAATCCATCTCTAATGTAATCAGTAGAAAATTGCAAGGTTCTTCCCATGTTTTAAATCGGAATGTCCATAGCGTATAAGATTGCAACGAGTGCGCAGCTACAAGAGTGGCAGTGCAATGCAAGCTCCGTCAAATTAATATATTGACGATGGCCATCCGTGCGCGACCCGCTAAATTTAGATCCCTGAAGGGACTTCACGAATCTGTCAGCGATTAATTCGCCCCGATGCCCCGGATACATCTGACGCCGTTATCATTGATCCCTCCCAGTGCTGCCCGAGCGGCCATTTCGCACGACAGTCGTACCGTACCACAACCTTAAGCTGCCAGTACGGGATTTATCCCGGTCCAACATTCTGGTCCCATAAAGCGCCTCGACGAATTCTGAACTTTTGGCAGGAAAAGGCCCGCTGCCAGAGGAAGAAGATCAATTCTATCCAATGGATAGGATGCAGACAGAGGGTTTGCCGTTGCCCTCTGACATCTTAGACAGCCTCGCAACGGAAAGCTCTGTTGGCCCCGCGCCAGAGAAGCTACCTTCGGGCATCAATGGCCTCGACGCAGTTGGCCTTGTCTCGCAATTACATGCAAGAGGGGATCTCCCCCGATCCCTGGCAAATTTCGCTTATTTCGTTTACGACATGCTTGCCTATCTAAGTACTGCACCATTCTACCGCCGGCCAGGCGAGCAGGCGCCTCCTCGCCTTAGCCTTCCTCAACTCTACCGTGGGATATTCTGGATCCTCCCAGACGCTCAGTGTGATTTATTTGGAGGCGACCTTGGTTCCCGTCGACGTACCGCGGCTGATCACAGGAGGCTCCTGTTCCAGAGCTTGGCGAGAGTGGCATATAGGCCAGAAGAGGACGACTCAGCCGAGGCGCGAAAGCGAGCTGCTCGTAACTCGTATTCCGGAATACCCCCAGCAGATGGGTCGGCAGACCGACTTTCCGTTAATTACGATGAAGACGGCGATGAGATCTACCACGATGTACTGGATGCTCTACATGCGGCTCTGCCTCGGCGCGGGCAGGCAGATCCAGGAACGCCACGAGACGGCTTTCGTGAAGACGCCAAGGCACTGGCAAGAGGACTACCCAGGCTTTGCACGCTGGCTGTCCCCGTAGACTATTTTACCAAGTTTATTATTCTCCTGCTGGCTCTTCAGTTCAGGGACAGCCGGGAAGGGCAGATGCTATCCCAGTACGAAGAGGCGGCAGAGAGCATAGTCTACTCGTTTTGCAAAGGCCGAGAGACGGATATAATCAGATGGCCGGAGTTTGACGATGCACTCAAGAACATGCCCTTTCTATTTCACCCACTTTACAGATTACTATCCACGGCGTTTCGGAAAACAGTGGAGTACACGGGGAGGACGCAATGGGCAGCACCAAAGTTGCCCCCGGATAGCTTCATAACATTATCACGTCTGAGCCAATTGGCGACCATGGTGAACGAAGATTTGGATTTTGAGAACTTTGAAAGGGTTCATCAATGGAACGGGCCTCCTCTCGCTACAGCCAAAGATCTACTTGCCTCTATTGAGGCAATGCCCTCTGTCAGTATCCTCGCCATGTGCGGAAAGTCCCCTAAAGGTGAGATGGTCATCTTTGGCATCTTTGTCCCAATGTTTGTGGGAGTAACACCCACTAAAACGGGGAATGAAAGTCGTGAAAGAAACTCGGTTGGGCCGGCAGGTGTTCCAACGTCAGTCGAAATGGACGGTGCGCACGATTGGGTCTCTGGCTCATCCGTCGTCAGGTCATTCATGTTTGTGCTTCGACCGGAGCAGCGTGTGATTCGTTTCAAGGGAAGTCCTTGCATTATCGGCAGTCATCTTTACTTTGGGGATGCGTTGATTATGTCTAATAACGGAACTGTATCCATCAAATATGGGACTGGCAGTATGAGGATTCATGTTGAGGTTATTGAGATATGGGGCGAAACAACTTTAAATCCTACTGCAAGGTTTGACTAGTTGTTGATCCTTATCCGGTTGAGCTCATGAGTATCCTAATATTCAACATCTGCTCCCGAGATTTCTACTTGGGGCCTATATCAGTAATCTAATATCATTGATCCAACCACATGCTAGGTTGTTGGCAAACCTGGCTTGTGATTTTTGATACAACCTCTATCGAATCAAAACAGGCACATCACCTAAATCTATAATTTCAAAATCATCTCTATCCCACTGCTAAAATATACAGAATCTGGTATCATTTGATCTCACTCCAAGTCCCGCTATGTGTCCCATCTAAAAGCCGAAAACGCCACCCACGCATTCCAATGAGCGGATCACTCCAAATATATAACCGCGTTTTTATTTCTTTGTTTTCTCATGGATCCCTTTCCTGATTAAAATAGGTGGAGGGCCAACAGACTCGTGGCGATTATAGCGGCGAGTGCCGCCCCTTCTGTGCGGTGCTCAACAGCGGCGCCCTTGACAGCTTCAGTCTCGAAGTAGTATTGGGAGCAAATGGTTGCTGTACCAACCATGCCGTCTTTGACAGGCAAGCCGAGACCAGACACCACACCTTCCATCACGTCAGAGCAAGCGGACTGGAGCGCCTGGACCGCGCTGCTATGCTCAACTTGCCACTTGGTAACGGACTTTTGCCATGAGGTGTACTGGGGAGCGAGTGAACCGGTGACAGAGGGGATCAGGCAGTTGTCAGTGACTGTGGCGAGCTGGGTTTGTTGGCCAAGGAATTCAATCATGTCGATGCCAACGGTGGGGACGGCAATCAAGGCCTCGCTCTCCTCGGCGAGGACTTTGTAACAGTCTTTCATGTCACGCTTTCCCGGTGCTTGGGTGGGAGCGGGAAAATTGAGCGCGGTCGCGACAGAGGCGACGGAAAGACAGAAAAGACGAGAGAAAAGCATCTGGATGGTTGATACTAGGTACCGAACAAAGCGAGTGTAGATAGATGCTAACGGATTATTTAACGCTAATCGAGACGAATCTGAGGCAACCAAAGGGAGACAAACAAACCCAGGGCGGGGATTGAGGAAGAAGAAAGCAGGTCTATTAAATATGAAAGTTCTTCACTCTGCCCAGAACATCCCTGGCTTGCATTGAAGCTGCCGGCGCTATAAACCCTTGTGGATCTTCATGTGAAAATGCGCTTTACTTTATGGTTATTTCGCAGGTTCAGAATAGCTACAGGGCTGGGACTGAGCGATGACAGTCGAGCGCTGATCGCCCTCTTGGACCATTGGGACGGTGCTCACGCGATTGATTGGCGCCTATCGAACCAATGCTTAGAAATGCGTCGACTCTATCTAGCGTGAGCGTTGATGAAACAATCATGGATGCGCTTGACTTGCTCTGGACGTGGCATCTGGAATATTCAAGGTCGCTTGGTGGAAAGTGGAGGAGCGTTGGAAATGACTGACCAAGAGCAATTTCCTTCCGCGCTCTTGGCGGGCGAGAACTGGCCAGTCAGTGAACGGTCGCAGATTTTCCCCTCTTGAGTTGTTTCTATCTATAGCCGCAGAGAAGCCATACTAAAGACACAAAGAAAGAAGATGATTGGAATGAACAGCGAGAGCTCATAGCTACTAGGAACTGTTATCGGTGATATGGATCTGAATCGTGTGGCACGGCTGCTGTATGGCGTGCTAACAGAACCGTTACAGACGGTCACGCGATCAGAGAAACGGCCGCAGGAACGATCCTTCTGGTTGCTTATTATGTAACCAAGCTGCCCAGCCACGCTCAAAGGAGTCAACCTTCATTATCACAACTACCCTGACCGTAACACGCATCACGTTCTGTTTGCTGCATTCGCAGTACCCAAGCGTTTTTACAAGTCTCTTCCTCTTGGAAAGCCTACACCAGGAAGGATGTTGGGAGCCGCCAAGACCAACCTGTTGCTGCTCTTCGTGAGCACGCGACTGTTTACTCTCGGCGCCGCATCGCCGGAGTCGCAACAACCCCTCGGACCAGCGCACCCTAAGGGCCCTCATTCTCATGCAGTTGATCCGGCCATTCTTGCTGCTCTCGAGGCCTACCCTGACCCCGTAGATGCCTATCTTTCATTGAAACCAGAAGCCGCCGCTGAGCTGTCCGCACCGCGTCTCTTGCACGTGGCTGGCGAGGAGGCCCCCCGATGGATGACCGAGGGTGATAAGATGCGCTTGCGCCGTGAGCGCAAGAAATTCACTGATATAACAGACCACGAGGAGTTTTATGCTCAGTACGTGGGTGCTGAAACTGCTGGAGATGCCCGTATGTGACGATCTGGACAGGCCGAACACCCAATGCTCACTACGTACTAATACAATGGCATGAGGCCTCTGTAGACCTCCCCAAAATATCACACCAGCGATATGTAAAGCCTCTCTTCTCGCTCGTTTCCACGCAGCGGATGCGCGGCGTTCTGCGGCACCTGTCAAGCTTCTACACCCGTTACTTTGGGAGCACGGACGGAGAGCAGAGCGCTCAATGGCTGCATGGCCAACTTGCTGAGGTTTGCTTCTCAAGCCCTCGCCGCCGCTCAGATCGTCTCGTACTGATAAGACTGTCTTCTCATTAGATCATTAGGAAGGCTCCCTTTCACACCCGCATCTCACTAGAGTTCTTCACACACCCCTTCCCCCAGCCGTCGCTGATCGCGCGCTTTGAGCCCAAGGTTAAGAACATTTCTGCTCCATTGACCATCATCGGTGCCCACCAGGATTCCATGAACTACCTGTTCCCTCTTCTGCCTGCCCCGGGTGCCGACGATGACGGTTCCGGCACTGTCAGTATCCTTGAAGCCTTCCGGGTTCTCGCTCAGAGTGGATTCGTCCCCGAGTATGGCCCAGTCGAGTTCCACTGGTACGCAGCAGAGGAGGGCGGCCTGCTGGGCAGCCAGGCGATTGCCAGATACAAGAAGGAGTCGAATGCACGCATTGGTGCCATGCTGGAATTCGTATGTACTTGATTCCCGCGCTTGCCTTTCTCTCCTCGCCTTGCTTCGACTACTTGCCGGCGATGAGCTAGGTGGAAGGAGAGCCAGGTGGGCATCAATTGGAGACTCAGCGAGTACTAACTACTCATGCCAGGATATGACTGCATTTATCGCACGCAACGCCACCGAAACCATTGGGTTTATTGGATCGGCTGCCGATGAGAAACTCACAAAGTGGCTCCTTGGATTGGCCAAAGAGTACATCTCGATTCCTGCTGATGTTTTTGAGCTTCCTGGGTAAGTTTTCTGCTCGAAATGCGGCATCGTGTAAATGTGATGATGACAGCGACTGATCAACATGACCAAAGTGGTGCTGGCTCCGACTACATGTCGTATACTCAGCTCGGCTATCCCGCTGGATTCGCCTCCGAAGGCAACCCCTCAGCTGGCGGTGGCAGCATAGGCGAGTATGACCCGTACGTCCATGGCGTGGGTGACGTGATTGACATTGACGATGAGAATGGAGTCTTCTCCTTCGACGTACGTGTTTCCCCCTTTCGTCTACACCGCACTCTTTTTGATATTAACTCAATTCAACCCTGCAGCATATGGCTCGGTTCTCAGAGCTTGCTATTGCTTTTGTGGTGGAGCAGGCTGGATGGGACAACAAATGGAGGTAGGCGACTAGCAGGACGGCTGCCAAGACTAGTGATGTGGCGCCGAGCTTTGCCGCTCTTCACCGTTGGGCCTACGATGGTGGTGAGAAAGGACGTGGAGTTTTTGGATAGATTGACGGCCCAACAAATGCACTACAGTCCGGCGTATAGAGCCCGAATTAGTTGTATCTTTCATAGCCTGCCACGACTATTGATTTATTGGTATTTAGAGGTAGTGACCCAATCATAAATTTTGCTTCTGTCCTTTGCCCCCTTGTTCGTTCCGCAGTCTAAGTAGTCAGGGGGCACAGCTGCTATTGTGACAGCTGCATGATGCATGTATTTTCAGGCGTAATCGATGACAGCCAACACGTGGAGGGGCAATTGGTCTTGGTGACTGTTTCGGCTTAGGCGACATGCACGATGTGAACAAATTGGGATCGAAACGGAGGTCTGCGCACGCCGTCGTCCAAATACATCATTTGTGCATTGATTTGCTTATTCACTCCTCGGAGGTCCCGGGAAGTGAGGACAAGTGTGCCACAATGGCTGGGAACACAACGAAAATGGGGATCTACGAGCACTCCAGCCCTCTCCCGACGATCGTGATATTGAGCCCTCGGAGCAGAAATTGTGAACTGCAGGACCTGTGCCGCGCTAAAAGGCTCGACTTGCCCGGCTCATCGCCTCGCCGAGGGCTGAATGGCAGATTGTCATCGAGCTGCACTAACGTCCGGTGAATAAGGGAGCCTAGTGCCCTAGACCAGATTCTAGCCAGGTCCAGCCATTCTCGCTGGGCGGGAAAAATCACCCGCCCGCCCCCATCCACGAGACCGTCGAGACGGCTCCAGACCCCCGGTTCGCTAGCTTACACATTCTTATGCTTACCTGCACAGCTCATCATGCACCCTGTCTGGCTCGTTGCCTGAATCATGAAATATTTGCATTGGCTGAGCGCCCCCCAGCTGCAATAATGTATGCAGCTCGCTGCGCCGACGTTTTTGGAGTACCTAGAGACTAAAGAAGGAAAGGATGACACCAAATCAATGCGCGCTCTAATGCCTGTCGCCCTGCCCAACCCATTTTAAAACCCGCTGTAATTACCTGACCCAATGACAAAGGAGACCATATTTTGATGTGCGTAAGGCGTGACAAAAGAAAAGAAAAGGGAGAAAAAGAAAAACCTTCATCATCCACCGGTGGCCAATCAGTAGGGGTAGTTGTCCTCCACCAGGCGAGTGAACACAAGCCTCTGCTCCGAGCACGGGGCGAGGATGTCCTTCAAGACCGGGATCCACCACTTCTCATGCTCGTGGCAGAGAACCATGGCAAAGGCATACTCGGCATACTCGGGATAGAACCCGCTCCTCTCCCAGTCCACGATCCCCGTCAGCGTGGTGCCGTCCACCATGATGTTCCGGGGCGTGAGGTCCCCGTGCGTCAGGACGAACCGCTGGCGCCTGTCAAAGTCGTTGCTGGCAGCCTTGGGGTCCTTGATGCTGGGATCCTTCCTCATGTGCCGGAGGGCGAGCCTCCATCTCAGCCGCGCCAGGGGCTTCGCGGCGACGTGGCCGAGGCACCACCTGTCGAACTCCTTCTCCGTGGCGAAGGGCCCGCAGGTGGAGTTTTGCGTGCGGTCAAACATGTTGCGCGTGGGCTGCCTGTCCACGCGGCCGATGTAGGGCTGCGTGACCTGGCGCATGCGGGCGAGCTGGGCGCGGAGCTGGTCCTTGACGTGCTCCTGCTGGTCCTCGTCGTAGTCGTTCCAGACGTCGGAGAGGGGCACGCCGGGGACTCGCTCGCTGACCATGGCGCGCGCGATGGACTTGTTGACGACGATGTCGTAGAAGGTGAGCACCTTGGGCGCCAGGATGTTGTTGGTGGCCGCGTGGTGCATCATGTCGGCCTCGGTCGAGTCCATGGCGTCGGGCGTCTTGACCTTGATGGCCACCGTGCTGCCCGAGGCCGTGACGTGCTCGATGACCCGGTTGCCGTAGAAGCTGTAGAGCTCCTTGCCGTGGGCAGCGTCGGTATAGGAGAACCGACGGAGCTGCTCCATGGACCGGTCCATGTCCAGGGTTAGAGGAGGAGCCACAGCCATCGTCATGATGATGGTTGATGTTTGTGAGGAGGGTAAGTTATCAAGAAGAGTATGGTGATGCTTCAGAACCGAGTCCTCTGGTGTAGCGTAGGAGAGATGAGCCAGCCATGAGAGCAGAGAGAGAGAGAGGAGCAGACTCGTGGTATAATAAACTTTCTCAGCTAGCCAACTTACTCATGGTCGGGCAGATCTCCCCCCAATGGGTCAGCCAGCTGGAGGAACATGGCTGACTGGAGCCAGCTTGTTGGCGGCCTGGACCCTGGCGGGACCAAGTAACACACTGGGGGCGGTCCGAGAGGCACAAACCGTGCACTGGTGCCTCCCGTCGAGAGCATAAGCTCCTCCTTGTGTCTGGATTGCGTGTCCAGCAGGCTCGATTGCACGTCCGTGGCAGGAGTTAGGTTTGTGCCGATCCCCTTGTCCACGGCTTGGGGGGGCCTGGGCCATGCCAGCAAAACCCATAGTGTCGGGGCCTAATGCCAAACGAGCACGGCCCCGGGGGCTTGCACCATCTTGCAGGTCGCATGCATAACTAACGAAAGAGGCTGCTTGCTGCTGTGTCCTTGACTGACCGAGATGAGCTGAACAAGCCACCGTGCCGCCTCGCTGGCTGCACGTTCGTCCACTTATCCGCTGGCCAGACTTTCGCCGGTGCCCCCGCCCCTCCCATCTGAATACACTTTGGGCCCGTCTAGAAGGAGCTCGGAGGTTTTTGCCAGGGCCAAGAGGTACCCGCTGGTGCTAGCACAACGTTAAAAGGCCCTTAGCAGCCAATTGGGGAATTCTCACGGCTAGTCAAACCATGGTCGGGCTCACTCGAGGCCTCTCACCATTCATACATGGATGAGTCCATACGCACAGGCCTGAGTATCGTATCCCAGCCAGCTGGTCGTCGCCCTACGTGCCGCTCACCGATTGGTGGCCCGGGTCGGTGTCTGATGCGAGCATTTTCGTCTGGCCCAACCCACTGCCACTTTTGTTTCTCTTCCCTCAGCCCTTTTGTTTTGGCCTGTCTCACCCAGAATTAGCCCGAGATTCGTCCATCTCACCTCTCACCGATATGGTTCACTCGCCATTCCACCAGAGACAGTCTGACTTTAGTCGACTGAAGCTTATAAGCAACGCCGAGATTAAAAGTGAGGAAGGACAAGATTCAACGGCCGTGTACCCGATTGGGAGAGTTCGGGACTATCGGTCTTAGACCATGTAAGCTACGTGCCGTCACGGCGTAATGCCATCGGTAGTGTGAGCTGAGGCCAACCTTGTAGCTGCGTGAGGCTGAATTCTCACCCCGCCGTGGACATTTACTTTGCGCCTGCCTCCAGCCACAGTGTCTACCACCATCGAGCGGTTGCGATCCAGGGCATCATGGCCTCCGGTGTCGCATGTTGCATCAAGCAGACTGTGGTAAATTTTCAAAACGCTGATGAGATGATAATACCAGCGGCAGTGGCAGTCGGGGGTCTGCCAAGCAGGTGCTATTATTCACCGTGTCTGACATGAGGGGATCATCAAGTTTATATATTATCCTTGAGTTGTTTGTTTTGTTGGCATGAAACTATAACAAACGCCATCGTAGTCCAGCATTCCCGGGCCTGCCATGTGGAATGTACATGTAGTCATCCGCATCTGTATAAACTTGCTGTACGATTCGCTTTGGGACCAAGGGTGTGTGTTTTACGTCCGAACCACGCAGCCCCAAACAATTATGCAGCTTCAGATAACCAATTTACTGTCCCTTCCAGAGCCCCTGGAGAATTTCATCTGTCTTGGCGAATTCATAGTCGGGGAAGAGTTTGTTCCATTCGTCTGAAACATCGAACTGGCGGGCTTGGAGGTCGATCTGGTGCGCGTGTGGTACTATCACTGCGCCATACAACCATGCCAGATTGAGCCAGTACCTCATACGTCTCAGAATCCCATAAAGGAGGCAAAAACCTTCCACCTTGTACTGATGTCCGAGTCCAAGAAGCCTGCATCTGGTTTTAATTCCACAAGCATGCAGTTCCCAGACACCACCATGGGCCTGCCCTGACTTGCCACAAAAATAGCGATGACGAGCTCCGTGAGGGCCGGCATGACCATGATGCGGTTAAAGGCCCCCGGGGCCTTGGCCCAAAACACCACCAGCATAAAGAACGTAGACACGGCAAACGTAGCACTCTGCACGATGCGGAAGCTGTGACTGCGCGCCCCCTGCTCAAGATATGCCACGCCATCGGCAGGGACACACCCGTTGAGGCTGTCCATCTGGTAGGCGACAGTGCCCAAGCCGCCCACCCACCGTTGAATGACGAGGGCGAAGGAAGCTACCCACTGGAAGGCCAGCGGGGGCAGGGCATAGTATCCAAAGGGGTGGTCGAGGAGGTCGTACCAAGCGGCCCATCCGAGCACCGACATCCATCCTCCAGTGGTCTTGTCGCTCTGGGTGAGGCCGAATGAGACACACCATGCCACAAACATGAAGGGCGAGAGCACCACCTGCAGGAACTGGGCGGGCGTGATTTCGGTGCCAAAGAACGAGTACTTGTCCGAGCCGAAGCCACACGCAGTTATGGGCGGCGCCACCACCAGAAACTGGAAGAGAGCTTGTGGCCAGGAGGGCATTAAGGCGGCCTCTTGGGGTGTGGCGTCGACGAGAGTCAGATTGTACAGCGAACGGAAAGCTTCGATGTCTTCGTTGGACCCGGCCAGCTTCCAAACCTTGGGGGGGAGCGGATCGACAGCAGAGCCATTGTCATATTTCTTTGAGTCGTCATACTTCCATATCCTTGAAATCCAGAGAATATCCGCTCGTATTGAGAGGCTGTCACAATCGGCACAATGGTTTGTTGTGGGTATTGATACAACGCTGGGAACAAATGACAGGCTCAGAAGGAGGATAATGAGAGACGGACTATGGGGACGAAACCGCCCAAGTTGATTATACAGCATATTGGCTGGTCGCACCTAGGCAATCTAGAAATTCAACACCATGTATGTTCGTCATACGTAGGGAAGAGCATAAGATGTAAAGACTAGCCCATAAGTTTCAATATTGAAGTTTTGATAGCCGCAGTGGCATTAAGGCAACCGTTTCAAAACGCCTTGCATAGCCGTCCACAATCCTGGCGCGTATTTCATTTATACTAATGCAGACCATGTTAGGCTACAATGTGCACTAAGAACGAACTGCAACCTTATGGGTTGCAGATCCAATCAAGATGCCTACTTCCCCACCGTGGTTGCCTTACTGTTCTTAAGCATATATCTCTTGGCTTCTTTAAGTTCTGATATCAGAATCTGTCGGCATCCTTACACTTAGTTAGACCATACTGGCTGTTGCCTGTCTACCTTACCTAAGGTGTATAATTGAATATTGAGAACATAAGCTATTATTTCGTGCTATAGATACTCAACTCGGGAAGGTACGGTTTTGCTTTGTGTGATATGCAGCTTATTGAAATGGCGACCGCAGTCTCGCTGGAAAATCGTAAGCTAAGCAGTCCGCGTTGAGGCCGATAAGACGTAAGCCATCGCCAAGAGCTCTACGGAATCCATCACCATCGATATTATTCGCTATCGCTATAGCGATGAGAATGGTTGTTCATTTACGCTTACAAGCATGGCCAACGCATAGATACAGCCAATAACTAGCCTCAACAGGAGCGTCGTAACCTCTGATGCCACTTTCCCCTCTTCGCCTGGAGGATAAGTTATACATCTCCCTAGATGGCCAATATGGTGGGCTCAAGCTAGGGAATATGCTCGACGTGGGAACTGGGAAGAGCGGACGTTCATTCGCCACTTCCAAGAGGGTGACGTAGAGACCCCCAGCTGAAAGAGATAGATGCGGATCTTCTGTTCTTGTAGCTATGAGGGGCTTGTGAGCGTTTCTACTACACTTCTGTAGAAAAAGTCAAGTATGCTTGAAATGCTTTTTGGAACTCACCCGCCTTCCACTATTTGAACTGATGGGCGCCGATCAGTAGCAAAGCTTGTGGCGAGCAGCGAATACCAGCTGTTGTATGTTTTTGCCATTTCATCTTTGCCCTGTTGCATGTCTTGTTGTCGGACATCCCTGAGGGTATCGCGGTGGGTTTGTGTAAGGGGCTCGCTTGGTATGCGCCCCTCTCAGGCATGTAGATTCGTAAGGTTGACAGCGATCTTTTCTCATTGCAACTTCAGGGAGGTAGTGTTTCTCCTACTTATAAAACACGTGGTAGTATCGGACTTAAGAGAGACCGTTAGGAGAAGCCGTTGAAAGCTTCAATAAAAGGTCTTGGATGTAAGTTACGAAAGGGCGGGCTGATGGTGTGGTGGAGGAGCGGTTCAAATTGTCGTCATTGTTTGACAATGATGTGACACCTCTGGTTACTCCGAGGTTGATTTCTAGCAGGGAAGTGTCTGCTGATATTTTTGCTGAAGTAACCAAATTAGTCGCCATTTTCAACGGATCTCTTACTGAGTGAATGATTGCAACGTTTGATAAGAAGTCATGTTAGTGAGCCAAGACATGGAGTGTGTTGGTGGCATTCCAGCAGCATGTCGCAGTTGACACCTCTGAAGTCCAAATGTCATCGGTACCATAGGCGGCATTGGAATGCACGTTGTCATCGAACGTTGGCTTCCGCTTTCCCTGAGAAGGTTTCCAGGTGAACGTGGCCTACCTACTTTAAAGACAGGCTCCGTAGTTGCTGAAGAATATGAGACACATATGGGGTGTATTGTCCTAGTTACAACATCGTAGGTCATGATAGTCTAGCTATCGTATGACCTTTTTTCTCCGCACACAGGCTGATGGCATTTTGCTTCTACGGTAACCAGCTGACGATTCAGAGAGGTCATTTCAAGGAAACTAGCTAGCCATCGCTCCTCAAAGACTCGTAATATAAATAGTTATGTCCTATTGCTCTACGATGACATAACTCCCATCTTGAATCACCTTCAAGATCAGATTTGAAATCAAATCTGACAAGATGCTGTTTTCAAGACTTTCTCTCCAAGCTCTCGCGCTTTTCGCGACTTCGGTTATCGCTGATGCGACCGTCGATGATGACACACCACTGAACGTCAGCAAAACTGTTCAAGATCCTCCAAATATTATTTCCTATGCTGGAAAACCAGAGTACCATGATAATCGAAGAGCGAGGAGATCCATCGTATCCGAAGCTGAATATGCCGAACTTCTCAACATGCCTCCCCCCAACGTCTCACCAGACCAGCTCGAAAGCTTGCGTCTCCACAATGCTGCCCGCGCAGGGAGAAGGCTGAAGGCAGTCGTCTGGGACCCTTCGCTTGAGAGTGGCGCGAGGGATTGGGCAATTTATATCGCTGGAATTAACTCTCTGCAACATTCTAGCTCCGCTCAGAGGCCAAACCAGGGCGAGAACCTTGCCTACTCTAAGTAAGTGTCCCTTCACCGTGAAATTGAGGGCTAAGAGTTACGAGAAAACCAGCCTAACATCGTGGTTTAGGTCTTCGGCCCCTATCCTGAATCCTGCAACTATAGGCACCCAACTATGGTAGGCTACCCCCTTTGCTCACCTGTCTTCGTTTCTCAGAGGCTAATCCTTCTGGCCCACCACAGGCTTGCCGAGGTCGTGAATTACAACGGTGAAACTATTCCGAAAGGAAACTTTGAAGCATATGGCCACTATAGTGAGTAGTCAAGCTGCTTGCCCTATCTCTGGAATCTATGTACTGATATTCCTAGCCCAATGCATGTGGAGCACTACCTATAAGATTGGCATTGCAACTGCGCAGGCTGCAGATGGTTCGTACTATACAGTCGCTCGGTACTCGCCTCCTGGAAACATTGTTGGCAAGGTGCCCTACGGTACTCCTCCATCTGCTGCCACTGGTTAAAGGCTTGGGAATAAGCCCATTTCACGCGAAGTTGGAAAGGATCGTGGCTCGTAATCACAATGCTTTTAGCATTTGATTACTTTAACCAACAAATCGACCACGAATGAACGTCGGACCAGGGCAAATGAGTCCCTATTTTAGACAATGGGACGAATTGAAGAATTCCCTTTCTTGGGAAATCCAAATACTGAAACCGTCTCATCTCAATTACCTTCTCATTAGCTTGAACACCCTGTGAGTAGTAATGTATGCCTGGATGAATATCGCCAGTTACTACCACACTGCGATCCTCTTCTTTGGATGTACTCTCGTCGGATTTTACTCTATTTCATAACAGGTAGAATCTCTAAGTATACTGGAAAGAGGGAGCCTGTCTTACTCAATAGTCTAGATCATTCCAGGACATTTATGTTGTTTGTGCTCTCCGATCTCAATTTTGACTTTCTTCAGCATTCCTAGCAGCAACTGACCACTAAATAGATAATTTGGTCGCAATAAGAAATACTAATCACGCTTCAAGGATTGGAATAATGACGAGGAGGCTTGGAAAAGCATTCCTATCGGTTGTAGACAATCACTACCTCGAGTTCTACTGCTTGCCTTTATTCAAATATTACCACCCTTCAGGGCCATCAATTTCACGACCTTCGAACTTATAGACAAGAGCAATACATGACATCAGACGTTGCCACTCACATCCCATCTATAGATGGAGCTTGCTAAATATGTAGATAACATCGTATCCGCAAATTCAACCGTTTCTGACCCATCTCGTTCTAGAAACTTCTCCTCTCCCATATTAACTCTCATTTATATCGTTTCTATAACTTATTGCAAGTTTCTCAAGTAGGTTAAATAGAGATTAACTGCTTTTGTAGTATCCCCACTTCAATGGTGGCCGTGTCTATTGAAAATAATATTTTACCTTCAATAGAAAATGCCGAGGTATTAAGATAGGACCCAGGCAGAACATATAGCTTGATGATTGGTTGGTAGAGTTAAGTTTTCTTATGCCGACCGCTGGGCCATATCGTTTGACGTATAGCACCGCTTCTTTCTCCCGTCAATTGACACTGAGTTACATGAGATCTGTAAAGGTCCATCTATCTCAAAACCTTTTATGATATTGGTAGATCTAAGATGTTTAATAGTCTGAGTGAATGGTGAGGCTACATGGTTTCTACACAGAGGAAGAAGGGACCCCTCGAATACTATTTTTGGGACCTTGTATTACACGTTAAAGGTAGTACTTCGTTCTTGTCAAGGTGTTTCTAGCAAGCTCGACATATTGTTAGATACTAAGAAAAGATTTCAACAACAAACTAGCTGTGAGAGAATGTTTTGCCTTCTCTCATGCGTCTCTGAACGTCTTTGCCGTTATCAGATATATTACTGATAGCTTTACAAGTCTCGGTACGATAGCTGTTAGTACTACTTCGCGGGACTACAGACAAGAGGAGCACACATGTACCCATTTTAAGACTCATAAATGCTCAATAATAGAAGGTTTCCCCTAACCAGTCTTATCAGATAGGTCCAACTAGGCCCCGAAATTACTTGGCGGACATTCAATTCCGAAAAAGGATGGGGTTTTAAAAGGGATTCCCGAGAGAGAGTCCTAAGATTGGGAGCACCAAGCGATCCCTTTCTAAGATATAACTAGGAAAAATATTCGTAACAAGGGAATTATCTAATAGACTCACTGCCAGATACTAAGACCAATAATTTTATCAGCATGAGCCGGCTTGAGAGACCGCGTGTGGCGTGGTTCCCTGATTGATGCGTCTGACGATCTAAATGCCGCAGCAGACAAGCTACAGGAAAACCAGTATTCCATGGGTTATTGCATGATTCGAGGATGTTGAATCCAGAGGTTCTGGTGTTACCTCTGGGATTACGTAGCCGAAGTGATTGAACAAATCTGGAATCAGCAACGCTACTTCGCCCTATATCAATCTTGAAGGGTAGAAGAACATGCCGATACTGTCTATATCTCGTATTGACGGCTTAGTCTTTTGCGATGTCCTTTGCGAAAGAGTCTAGTCCAAGCAACGGGTTGTTTTTTAGGCGGTTAGCCTTGGGAAGCCGTATCTACAAAGGGGCCGGAGCCACCCCGCAATTGGTGAAGCGAAGCAGAGAGGGGCGGAGCTGCTGATAAGGTGATGCGGGGAGACTTCACGAGGCCCCGTCGCTGTCTGTTGCGGTCATTGTCCGACTTGTCCGGCCATTACTCCGATTTATCTTCATCCTTAATCCCGCGTCGTGGTGTGCTCTCATCCTTGAGCAAATTATAACAGTCTCGAAAAGGCTCCCAATACCCACCTGTGCATGTATTGCCCGCCCAGAATTGACTCACAATGCAAGACCAATACGTCCCGGAAGTTGCGCAGCTGAAAACATGTGAGGAGAAGGTAGCTTGGGCAAGAGCACAGCGCGATGCCGGACTAAACAAGGTCGAGCCGAAGCTTCAGGGCGTTCCAGATGAGCTGCCAAAGAGCTCACAGGGCCTGCCAAAGACCGTCCTGACCGCCCGTGAGATTGAGATCACGGAGAACTACTCAGTGACCCAGCTTCTCAGCGTCCTTAAGGAGAGGAAAATATCCGTCGAGGAGGTGACGAGGGCCTTCCTGCGGCGGGCCGCCCTCGCACAGGCAGCGGCAAGTAGCGCATCCATATGCCCTCACGCCTGGGGAGAGAATGGAACTAACCGACGGGATATGAACAGACCAACTGCGTTACGCATCTGCTGTGGGATGAAGCAATCGCCCGCGCGAAACATCTCGATTCCCTGCCTGAACCTGAAGGGATGCTGTTTGGACTGCCAATCTCGACCAAAGAGCACCATGGCATGGTGGGCGACCATGTTACCACAAATGCGTCTCTGGTGGCGTGGATAGGCAAAAAGCATGGCTCGAACTTGCTGTACGATTCGCTTTGGGACCAAGGGTGTGTGTTTTACGTCCGAACCACGCAGCCCCAAACAATTATGCATCTTGAGACCGTCAGCGTTGTTTATGGGCGTACCGTCAACCCGTATAATCGAGATTTATCGCCAGGCGGGAGCAGTGGAGGAGAATCAGCTCTGATAGGCATGCGTGGAAGTCTCTTGGTACGCTTTATAGAACTCCTGCGTTTATCGTTGGCTCGGGGTCGGCACATGCTGACCATCATTGAATAGGGAGTCGGAGGAGACATCGGCGGCAGCGTTCGATGCCCGGCAGCTCATGTTGGTATCTACGCGTTTAAGTGAGTACTTGTTTTTGTATCCAATTTCCGCTGAACGATTTCTTTTACTAATAAATCATCTAGGCCAACCCTGAAACGTATATCCGTCATGGGAGGCAGAGGTTTGATGATAGGAAAGGAAGCAATTACATCTACGCCTGGACCTATGACCGTAGACCGCGACGCTTTGGAGTTGTTTATGAAAGCTGCGTTGGAGTCAAAGCCATGGCTGACTGACCCATCCCTCACATTTAAGCCTTGGACTCCTTTCAGATTTATTCAACAGCTTAAAGTTGCCATCATGTGGTGGGATGGTGTTGTGAAGCCACACCCACCCATGACAAGAGCTCTCAAGGAGGTCGCTGAAGCATGCAAGAAGGCCGGCATGGAGGTCGTTGATTGGGACGCTGAATCTCTCCATCACGAAACAAGCTGGGAACTTTTGACGCAGCTGTATTGGCCAGATGGCGGCGAGGAGGCACTTGGGTGGATGGAGAAGGGCGGAGAGCCGGTGCTCCCCCTCTCTAAATTCATTCTCCAAGAACACCCCCAGATCAAAAATCTCAGCCAACATGAGCTGTGGGATGTAGGAGAACGTCTGTCCGTTTTTATTAATATCATATTGTTGACATTATCCTAGGTTTGCCGCCGCCGAGATGAATACCGAGCAGAGTACGCCCGGGCTTGGACTAATTCCAAAGGAGAAGATGGAAGAGAGGTTGATGTGATTATTTGCCCTCCTTCATTTGGAGCTGCGCCGCCGCATGATCAATCTCGATACTGGGGCTACACTTCTCACTGGAATCTTCTCGACTACCCCGGTGCGATATTCCCTGTCACGACAGTGTCCCCAGAGAAAGACCCCATCGAGGCTGGCTACGTTCCTAAGAACGAAGAGGATCGTTTTGTCTACGAAATGTACAACCCTGAGAAGTACAAGGATATGCCGGTAACCCTGCAGATCATTGGTCGACGGAGTTATGATGAGAAAGTGCTTGCCGCGCTGAAGGAAATCGAGCTCGCCCTTGGAAGGGAATAGTGATTCCAAAGTTGAAGACCTGTTACATCTTATTTTCCTAAAACTAGAAGACAGATTTGGCTTCACCGTCAGCGTAAGCTCAACATTAAGGCAAAGGATTATGCCGGTATAAACAACCACAACTATATAGCCTTAGAACAGCCATAATAGATCTAGTTTCTTTCATGTTGAGACTGATATTTCCTCGTATTAAGTAAGCCAGCTACGAATCTAAAATAAGACAGGAATCATTGAAAATTACTTGACTGGTCTCTAGTCTTCGGTCACAACGGAGACCTGTGGTATCAGCCGTCCCTGCCCATTTAGTCATTCCAGATCTCAGCAAGCATCCACAGCTGACCAGCCCATTGTTCCCTCACAGAAGGCCAGATTTGCTCTGGAGGCAAGATGAATCCACCTCCCCCGGAACTGGTAGGCCTCAACTCAAGACTCCAGGAATGATTGGCTGCAAGCACTCCGTGGTGATAATCACGTCCAGTCCCTGTAGAGGAGTAAAGCACCTCGCAGGCAGGGCCAACTATGAACTCTTTGCCATCGACAGCAAGTATGGCCTTGGCAACCCCTTCTCCAATTTCTCTCATGCGAGGGAGAGTGGCAGGAAGGTCTTCAGGTGCGCAGCTCCATCCCCAAGGGGTGAGGATCAGCTGGGAATAGGAGTGCCAATCAATGTAGGACCTGATTCCTTGACCTGTGGTTGCGAGCTTTTTAGACAAAGCTGAGAGAACAATGTTCTCGGGGGTATCACCAGGTCCAAGGCCCTTGAAGGTTTCGGCGCAAGGGTTTGATGAAACAGAGCCGCCACCCTCTGGATCAAGGTACCACGTATAGTCCTTACAATCGTTAGCATTATGCTAGGGTTAATTTAAAGCGGTGGTAAATAAGTACCCAATTGCGGTTCAGATCAGTGCCGATACAAGTTGTGTTGCTACGGGGTTGCCTGCTCTTACGCCAGAGTCTGTTGGTGGTCTGGGTGTACTTGAAACCTAAAGCTTCCGTCAGTCACGGACATTGGGCAAGTGAAGTCGATATGTCCATTTACCGTCGGGGTTGTGGAATGGAACGATCCAAAAGTCGTAATAATTTAAAAATGAAGTGACATTCGCATCACCGGAGGTATATCCGTCAATGAGCTGGTAGGTCAGATATTCGACTACCATGGTGGTGATCCATTCCCTCGCATGGACAGTACCGTGCCAGTAGATGATGGGCTTTTCTTCAGAATTTCCCTCGTCTCCCCAAAGGTGAAGGGCATAGAGGTCTCTTCCCTCATATGACTGCCCGAGATTAATCTTCTCCGAGTTGTTGGGGAATGCAGCTTGGAGATCATCCCAGTATGTGAGATGATCTTCGTAGGCATGGTAGCTTTCGAACCAGCTTAGATCAGGTAGTTCTCCTTTCTTGCTCAGTTCCCTTTTATAGGTCGGCTGAACGGCTTCTGCGCGTATTTGGACCCCAATATCGTCACTGAGAAGGTGGATATTTAAACCAAGATCTTCTACCGTGTGGACCTCATTTGGCGGTACAACGACCTCAAAGCTATCTTGAGATTGAAGATTTGGGAGATGAGCGAACTTGGCCTTGACGTCCTCTGTGTCTTTCTGTGTACTGGTATCGATACGATAGACGCGGTGACCATCATAGGTTATGCGAGTATCTTGAGACGAAATAGACTCGGCGGGACTCGCAAGCGTTGTAGAAACCACACTTGCGAGCCCAAGAACGCTAACTAAGAACTTCATTTCTGAAGCTTTGAATGATTGGTATGGTCAAGCTCTTCAAAGTGAGGAGTGAGGTTATTGCTTTTTGAGTCGGGATTTGCGGCGGGGTTCATGGTTTTGTACGAACATTCTCGTTTGGTTTCACAACATGCCCGAGACTTAGTGTCATACGAAAGGCCTTATATTCTTATGCTAGAAAGAAAAGGGCAGCTGTGTCGAGTAAAGAGGGGAACCCTGTAATCCTGTTGCCAAGCGCTTAGTTTTGCTTGCATAATGCTGTGATTCTAGCGATCGCCTCATCGCTCGCCCCAGAAGTATTTCTAATTGAACTTCTTTTCCACCGCGATGACTGGGGTACGATAAGAGCTTAATATTCGAAGCAGAAAGAAATATATCTCGACCCACAGACGATTTCTGCCATTCAAAATAGGAAGTTGGCTTTGGTGTCGCGCGTGATAAAAGGATCTTTAATGGAACCTTTGTGATAGCAAAGTAATGTCACCTTTATGGCTCACTGCCCGCCGCATTGCATAGAAGCATACGAAAAAGAGGATTGAGGTTCCAGGGTTTTTGTTGGCATGTCATTCATTAAGACTAAAAACGGTAGGTGGTTTTTGCGTTGCATCATTCAGGTGGGATTTTTCGTATATTGGCTTGGCTGTGACGCTGCAGTTTCCTGCATGGCATGGTAGTACCCAAGGTGGCCTTGAGGCTAGAACCTAATATCTTATATGTAGATTGGGTAGACAGGGATTCTTTGAGATTCGTTTTTGTAAATGGCGATTTATAATAAGGCGAATAACTTGCGTAGACAACCGCCCATAAAAGCAATATGTCTAGAACATCTGTGAATTGGATCCCGCTCCAGCAGTACAGATGAGAGTACATATGTAAGTATATAAAATCCGCTACAGAATCCAGATGTCCTTTTTATACAACTACACTAAACATATTTTAGGCCGACTTACGAAGTTACTCATTCTAGTCACTATAAAGTTTCAGTAGCACTTTTTTAATTTGAATGATTTTGTTCCTAGCTTTTTCTTTTTGATAGAAATTATATTCGGGGTACCAAAAACTGGTACCAAGAAGAACCTTCCGGATCCAAGACATTCTCACGAATCAACCTACAGCCAGGAATCATGAGATAGTTGTGACTTTGACAAAGAGGTTATCCAGAGAAATGTGCATATATAAATAGATCGGTCCTAGCTACTCTATAGACGTCGCTTAACGTAGAAAATAAGTAAGAACACCATGGGTCGTAACTTTCTCCAGAGGTAGGATAGATAAAGTTATTGAGAAAAGACTTTGATTATAGGAGCGAACTATATGGCTCTAATTGATGTGAGCAGGGTGGTTCGGTTCGCTTTGCTAGCACAAACATCTCTTCTTTTGATCTTGTGTTGTAGAGTCGCTAGAAGACGTGTAATCAAGGTCAAGACTATTCTGTTAGTTTTTAAAACGTCATACTTGAGGTACAATTATCAATCGCACAATAGGATGCATCCGTAACAAGCTTGCTACCAGAACTTTGGGAAGCTTCTCCTTATAGCTCGTCTTCTAACATACGCTATATGGGTGAGGAATGGGCCATGGCCGCCAATCCTATGCAGAATAGGATAGGCGGCATCGACAGGACAGGCAAGGTATATCCATTTAATGAAGTGTTGAGAGAATTGACTCATTCTGACATTAATCTAGCCTGTTTCTAATTCGCGGCAGTGACTCACTCGTTGGGACCTGATCGCTATCTCGGCCCGAGAAAGCTTACCGGTTTCGGATGAGATCCGATGATATAAGGCAGAAAACCAATCTGGTTTTATGTCCTCCGACATTCCTAAACTCCATACCAAACTATCGCATGAAGGCCTCTATTATCGATCATGAACAGCTTCAGATTAAGTGTCCAAGGCAAGACCTGGCGAAAAGACAACTATCTCATCTCAACCGACCACACCTCTATCCCGGTCGCAGATCTCATAAATGCATTCGCCTCAGATGAATTTTACTGGGCCAACGAGATATCAACGGACGCGATGAAAGAGACCCTAGAAAACTCACTTTGCTTTGGGGTTTACGACACTGCCGTATCCACCCAGACAGAATCCGCAAGACACGCCTCCAAGTTCATCGGTATCGCCCGCTGTGTGACGGATTTCGTGACATTTGTCTATGTGACTGATGTTTGGGTGGATAGCGGTTACCAAGGCCAAGGGTTAGGGTCCTGGTTGGTTAAATGTATCCAGGAAACGATAGAGCCGATGCCATATTTGAGACGGAGCATGTTATTTACAGGTGACTGGGAACGGTCGGTGCCATTTTACGAGAAACTGATGGATATGAAGGTGATGAACGAGCCCCAGAGAGGTCAAGGCCTTGCTCTGCTAGAAAGAAAGGGGAGAGGACACCCAAGCTATGGCCATGAAGGGGGTGGCTATAATTGACGGTGTTTTGTCAAGGTTATCTACAGAGCTTGAAATACCCGAGAAGTGTGAAAAGGCATTATTCTAGCTGCCTTAGCGACCTATATCACAACGATGAATAAAGATAGAAGTATGCCAATAAAAGGCAATTCATAGTAAATTCTACACGGACATGTCCATATGTTGAAGAAGGCGAACTGTTTATTACTCCTGAATAAGTGGCATAAACTTCAATCGCAATCCTATCTTTCTCAAGGGTTTCATCCAGCCATACTTAAATCTCTCACTCGTAAAGCCCCCAAGTTACAGCAAAGGCCTGGTTGTCGTTGAGACGTACAATACGGTCACAAACAACACTCACATCCACAGACTCAGATCCTTCAGGGAGCTTGAGAACGACTTGTTCCACATTGTTTTCTTCGGCAACACCCTCGTCGCCACGCTTCTCGACAACAGTAGATCCCGAAGCATCTTTGACGGCGACATTAAGGGAGAGCTTGTTCTGCAACTCCAGTCCCTTCCGATCCGAGAACACCAACGTGACTTTCAGCTGCTTGCCACGCCCTGAGGTGGCAGGCACATCGACGTTCAAGGGGATACTCTTTGTCCAGGTCTCATCCTCGGCAAGGGATTTTCCAGAAACGAATCCCTCGTCGACAAAGCCGAAACCTGCTGTATCCCGCTTGTCAACAATTGCGAGCGATCTCTCGATGTCAATGCGACCGAATCCCTGAGCAGACTGTGGAAGGCCGAGATCCACTGCACCATTGATCACCAACGCTTTAACAAGCGCTGCGCTCGGCTTGTCAACCCCTTTGGCCCTGACGGCGCCACGAATAGTAGCACAGCATCCAGA